TTTACGCCACTGGAAACGAATGTAAACACAGAACCGGTTACTGTATTGGCGGACTAGCCGATCAGCTGATCGGCTGACGCGCACAACAAAGCGCATTTCTTGTAAGGCTTTCGTTAATCGAAGTTTTGTTCGTTAATGGCATTGAAAATCCTTATGGGAGCTAATTCGTAAACCAAAATTTCGTTAATTGGACCGTTCGTTAATCGAGGGACCACTGTATTTATAATTTTAAAGAATCTTTACTGGCAACAGGAGGCTGCAGTGTTAGTATATAATGAACTTACTAATTGGTTCACAGTTAGACAGGGAATAAAGCAAGGTAGTGTTCTATCTCTAACAATGTATAATATATATCCAGAAGTCTTAATGAGAGACGTTATAAGTGATAATGAAAGACTAAAAGTTAATGGTAAAGTAATATCAAATATACTCTATGAAGAAGATGCTGCTCTCACCACAGAAGCAGTACAAAAAACTCATTAACAGATTAGTGTAAAAAGGTGAAAAATATTCTCTAAAGACAAAAGTAATGGTTGTTTTTAAATTGGAAATAAATCCTAAAATAAATATTATGGTAGGACACAGGGAACTTAAACAAGTGGAGAATTTTGTGAATCTGGGAAGTAACATTAGTTGTGATGGTAGATGTATGTCAAAACAAAAATAGGGCAGGCAAATACAGCATTTAAATATTTAAAAGACTTAATGAAGAGACATTAACTTCAATTTGAGAAAAATGGTGCTGAAAGGCTTTATTTGGCAAGGACTATTTCATGGGTCAGATGTACTGTTTTTGTTGTACATAAACGATATAGTCCACACAATCCCTGGTTACTGCACAAATGAGAGTTGTGCGGACAATGACCTACTAGAAAAAAACTGGTCACACTAACAAACAATTTGCTAAATTGAAAATGTTAAAATTCGAGGATATTAACACCTACTGCTGTGCCCTATTTGTTTACAAATCTGTCAATCACTCACTTGACAACAATTATTTCCAGTTCCGGAATAATCAGAGATACAACTTAAGGCACCCAGAGCAACTAAGACCACCCCCCATGCGCTCCTCTCAGTCCCAGACCTCCATAAAATATCCTGGTGTGAAGGTGTGGAACAACTTACCCCCACCCATCCCAGCAAAGACTACGCTCCCTTCCTTTAAATCATCTCTTAAAAAATATCTATTGTCTAAGTATTAATATTTTTTGTAATACCTACTTCATATACCTGCCTTTATTGTACCACCAAAACCGTTTTATCAGAAATTATCATGTAAATAGACAGAAATTAACATTGCAATAAATATATTTGCCAACTAGACATAATCCTGACAGCTCTGTCCTCTTGTTCCACCTTAATACAACCCATGTTGTACTGCCTCCTTCCCTTATCATATTTATGTTTTTCAATTCCACTGTAAATTATGTATATACAGTACTTATAACATAAATGCAAAAAAATATTATAAAATAAAATAAATAAAATAAACAAATATCGAAGTAATAACCGTGGTAACATTCTGGTATGTTCATATTACCACCATGCTATGTATACTATTCCAGATGATACTAAATGTTACATAATACTTCCTCGAGATAAATATATAGTACAGATACTGTATATATCAGGTGCCTACAAGAGTGCTCAGGCTCTCAACTGGCTCAGCCATGTTAATATTAAGATTTTTAATCGACTCTGTATCTGTGCTATTCTGCCTAAATAAACTGTTTCAATATCAATAACTCTCAACAGACACCAGAATGTGGTTAGAGGCCTTTGAAATGTGGTGTTAAAGGCAAATGCTAAGAATAAGCTATACTGACAGGAAAAGAAAAGAAGAATTACGAGGATAGGAAAAACTTCAAGAAAATACTTGAAATGTACAGATAAAGAACAATGAGATACTTTGGTTACGTGTATATAAAAAAGAATGAGGGGATAATAACAGAAATATTAATGGGCAAAGTTGAGGGTAGGAGGGCCAGGAGAAGGCAGAGAATGGGATGGATGAATGAAATTAAAAACTGGGTCCCCAGAGGGGTACAAAGCCTTGGAGGATTGGTAAAAACAGCCCAAGAACATTTAGAGTGGAGGACTGTGGTCACCAACCCTCAGATATGAGGACAGTACTCTGATTGATTGATTGAAAGTTGAGGTGTGTGAAGGTTATCTGGGTCTCCAACAAATAAACTTGGTGAGCATATTATGTAAGGTGATTAGTTGTAAACACAATTAGAAAATGGGATTTCAGGACCAATCTTCCACTTTCATTTATTTTTCTGTACCTGGTAATTACAGTATTAACACTGCACTGTGCAGTATCATCAACAGGAGCATTTTACAGCAACCAAATGCTCAGGCTATCCAAAACAATTCAGCAATGAGAAAATAAAGCAGAGATCACTCCATCAGGCTCTAAGTTAAATCAACATACACATAACATGCTAAACTTCTCACAATACTACCACACATGCACAGGTCTTGCTCTCTCACAAGTCTCTACTAAGAGAATTCAGGTTCTAAAGTGGCTCAACCATGTCAATATTGCTATTATTGATCACTGTACATATCTGCATTTTTCAAGATAAGTAAACTGTTTCAATATCAATGCTGAACAAAATATATATATATATATATATATATATATATATATATATATATATATATATATATATATATATATATATATATATATATATATATATATATATATATATAGTGACCTCGTTTTAACAATTTAAGTTAACGAAAATTTAGATTACTTTGCCTTCCATAGGATCTTCAATTGTAATTTTTAGTTACTTGGTTCTTACGAGACCTCAACATGTTTTGCTTGCACTGACCAGGCAACCACCTTTAGTATCAATCCTTAACCATTAATGGTTCTGGGGCTTAAATTCTATTTTTAGTAAATATCAAGAAGTTTATACTATTCAATAATTTTAAAAGTTTAATATTCAATTTTTTGATGTTTAACAATTATTGAACACCAAGGTAAGTGACTAGTTTAATGCCGCGGCATCCAGCCTCTTAACACAGCAAACAGGGAGTTAGTCTCTCTCTGTTTCACTGGATGTAACATCTTGCTTGAGACTCTCTTCAACTAAACGCTTTTTCTGTGTTTCAAAGCAAATTATTGGTCATTTGAAATATATTTTACATATTGACAATATATAATGCAGTGCAGTGTTGATTTAAAAATAATCTTGAATTACACCAGTGAACTAAATTTATGGGTGAAATGGCCATATATGAGTGACTTCTCTTCCTGTCCTTCTCTTTCCCCCATTCTAAATCCATCATCATCATCATCCAGGGCCTTCTACACACCTCAAGTGAAGACTTTTCTACCATTTTGTTGAATTGAAATTTTCGGTGAGCTGGAACCAATTCAAAAACCCATTAAACAATAGTTTGATTGTTTTTCGGTTAACAACGACTTTCTAGACCGGATTGAGTTTGTTAACGGAGAATTACTATATATATATATATATATATATATATATATATACTACTTCTATCAATTTGTTTTTATTACTGAACCATTAAAGTCATATTTTCTGAACTTTTTCAAATAACATTTTCGTAATACACCTGTATATAAAATTTATACTCTGTCCAGCAGGCATTATATTATATAGTGTATGACCAGATTGGTCAACGCCAGAAAAAAAGGGACCTCTGACAATTTTCTTCTCTGTGATCTGCTGCCCACCACAACATAGTGATGCATGGGTAGTTTTTACTTAGCAGCAAAATCAACATATTGCCACTTACATTCTGAGTAACTGAGTCTCTTGGGATAAAGGTGGTTTCCCAATGATTTTGTGAATAAATCTCGATTTTGACCTTTGTGAAATACTGTAACATTCAATGACATATATCCAGACAACTGGGGTTGGTTATACAGACCCACTGTGAACTCTACTCTATAATCCTTTGTGCCAGCTTACAGGATGAGTGTGGGGTGCACAATAAACAAACTGTAAGTGGTAAATTGAAATGTGATGACTGTACACATGGAATATATCTATAGAAAACTTACCCATATTGCTTGCCTCAGAATAAAACAATTTGGGTATAAACTCTTTTCCTCTCAGATTTTGTCCCAAGCTTTCTCATCATAAAGAATGACACCATTGATGCTGCGTGCACAAGAGGCAGAAACCATACATGACATCAAGGTATCATACCATCAAATATTTTCTAAACATTAACAAAAGCAATTTTATCTTATTTTTTATAGACAATGATTAATTATTCTTTCTATCATAATAATAACAATAGCCCCAAAAGAACATATTATATATACTAATATGTTAGATAGGATTTGAAACTTTAAAATAATATTAATTACATACTATTGGTTGATGATACATACACACACCAACAAAACAGCTCCACCTACCCTAGGATGAAACTTTATTACTATTTTAGGTTATTAGTTCAAGTTGAGAAGGTTGCATTATAACAGCAGGTTGTTATGTTTCATTGTCCAAACATGGAATCAACTGAAGCGGGCAGATGACAGGGCTATGACATTTACAGGAAATAACTAAGGGCAAAACCCTAAATAACATGTTTATTCCTCCACCAGATTTGCTCTAGTCTTGAGGTCAGTGGCTGGATAACCTGGCCACTGTCCTTCAGCAACTTGAGGATTGAATTGCATTATAAAAAACATCCTGGACACAGTCAAATTAGAGGTGTTCCTGTTCTTCATATTAACACACAGAGCATGACAGGTAAAGCTTAATGCACATAATAATATAACTGTAAACCTTATAAGTCTCCTTAATGAGCTGTTATGAGATACAATATAGAATATAACCAACACAGTGAAGAACAACTCCAGAAAAAGTCTTCGTTGTCTGCTGAACATTTACCAAGCACCACTGACCGGTCCATTAACCACAACCTTAACATTATATATTACTTCACAACTATAAATAAACAACCATAACCACCAAACACTTTAAAGGGACATTATTACTTACCTAAATAACATACGATCATTGGAGGTAGTCATCTGACATTTATCAACAACATCGACGTCACAAACCTTCAAAAACAAAACATTAAAACAAAAAGACTAACAGTTGATTCTAGTAGGACGGATCACTCAATCATTAGATCTAAGTCTTTACTGGGGCGGGTCTCCTTCACCTCCTTCACCTCCATATTCACCTTCGATTTCACCCAAATACTACTGCTAAACATGATGGACAGGAGCCAGCTATATCACCACTATTTAATTATATAATATATTACTTTTATATTCTGATATGGTCGTGTGAGGGCATTGATATGGTTATTAGTATCGCTAATCGTGTTTATCGATGATCAGTGTTGTATGAATGTATTTATGCAGTAAATTAAATATATTACCATTAAATATTATTCTCATATTTTATTTATTTCTATCATCATTACTTCTTTTCATTATTATATTTCCAAATACTTTACTAAATTACAATATGTACAGTACTGTAGAGCACATGCTGTATATTGTGCTATTACTATAACGAACGTTAAAATATGTACTATATACTAAAATAGCACTCTTGTTGGGAAAAATTAAAATGACAGAACTCATGATAATACCGACGACAGGGTATAAACTGGTTCCCTGCTGCTGCCAGTGAATATGTGACAACAGGAACTCGTTTTAGGGGGCGTTGTGCATAGTTATTCCCCCTCACCTCTCCCCTCCCACAGATCGGCTACATATCATACAACTTTCACAAATATGCATCTTTAGGTGGTTTATATTTTTTTACGGGGCATAGCCATGATGTACTATTGTAAATAACTACTAGCTACTAGTAGTTTACTATCAATCAGTGAGTACCGTCCTCAGAGGTAAGTAGGTAGTAAGCAGCTATCAAACAGGGAGGTGTTACCTCCTGGGAAGATATTGGAAGCATAATGCTGTAACATCACAAAAATTGTGACCAGTCCCAGGTTGCTGATTTTTTTCCGGGTATTAGCCACCGGACACAGGTCACTGACCCACATCAGAAAATGTAATAATAATAATAATAATAATAATAATAATAATAATAATAATAATAATAATAATAATAATAATAATAATAATAATATTAATCTGACTTTCTGCCTCATTTATACACAATTGCAGGGTCTCAATTGTTTCTCTTACTATTGACAAGACAACATGCTGTATATCGTTTCTCAATCTTAATTTATTTTTTCGTTTGTGTATTTATTTATGGTTAGATTTTTTAGATTTCGATTGCCCCTGAGGCTAGTTTATTTATTGGGCACCCCCCACCCTGTGCAGGTGAAGCGCAAGCGTTTACAGCGCCCATCTGGGAATTATTATATGGTTATTAATATTAGTATTTTTTTTTTGTTATAATTTTATATTTGTTATTAATTATTATTAATTATTATTATTATTATTATTATTATTATTATTATTATTATTATTATTATTATTATTATATTTTCTGGGTCTGTTGGATTGATGACCTGTGCTTTAAATGAGCTAATCTATATAAAAAGTGCATTATGCAGAACAGCCACACCCTTGTCCCTCCAAAGATGTCCACACAACGCTTCCGTGACGCCTGCTGGGACCACCGACCTGACGGAACACGATGATCCTCTACCTATACTGGCCAGATATTATGTAAGCCCTATAATATTTATATATACTGTGACACTTGCCAGATGCTTCTGGTGTTATTAGGGGGTACCTAGTGACAGCACTAGGATCCCCGTTCCTCTATCAAGGAATAAAATATTGAAATTGAAATTGAAAAATAAAATATCTGAGGCTTGGTGACCACAGACCTCACTAAACGTTCTTGGGCTGTTTTACTAATCCATATTAATCTATACCTTCCTGATGTCCAGTTCAAATGACTATCAGATTTACATGGTGGAAGGTTCACTCATAATACCGTTATTCCAACCTTTGACCGTTGACAATGGAAACAAATTTGATCAGTTGGCCCTGTATTGTCATCAACATTTATCTGCACCAGACTACAGGAAACTTGTCATGTTGATCGAGGTCAGAGCTGCCAAACATCGGCGCAATTAACGGGTCAATATAATTTCAAGAACTCAAATATCCTAAAATAGCTATGAAGCACTACGTGTGATACTAATGTGATATCTTTAGTATCTGTGTATGAGACATACCCAGATCTTGTTTTTCATTATGGTGCTAAATTTCACTTGTGATTCCCCGCTCACATAGGTAACTGGTGTTTGTTTCGATGTTCTCACGTGTACTCACGTTACTTGTTTGGTGGTGTAGGCTCACGTTCCTCACCCCAGGACTTCACAACCTTCAGGGACGGGTTTACTGTCACCAGGAGGCAGAGTGCCAATCACCGTGAGTGGTGGGCAGTAGCCAGGCCTTTCCACCTACATCTACGTGGAGGCAACTCTCTTGTTGTCAACCTTCACTCTACGCGAGTATCAAACTTTGTAGAAAATAACACCCTTGTATTATTACTTATCCCGCCCCGCAGGTTATCTTTGTCGTCCCTGTCATCTTCACCAGGCCGCCATGTGTGTGTGTGTGGGAGGGGGAGGGACGCCTCCTCAACTACTTTTACTTACTTACCTTTATCCTCTTCACCACTGATCGGCTCGTTAGCCGCTTGGGCGATCGGTCACGTCCTGTTACGCACTTGCCAGTACTGGGCATGCACCGGCTCCTGAATGTACCTGCTGCATCAACATCACCGTTTATTCCTTGGAGAACACCGGACTGTCTGAAGGTGTACACACATAGCTCCTAGATAAGAACACCGGTCACATCACGGTATTGGAACTGAGGGTGACGACTTTACTTCTCGTGCCATATAACTAGATTGTTGAAGGGATTCCTCCCTACAAACGCCGGGGATGCTGCACAGATCCGCATTGATAAATGTAATGATATCAACTCTAGAAACAGATCTAGTTTGAGAGTTAGGGGGAAGGGGAAATGTGAAGAAGAGTGATGAGTAGAATGATCAGCGTAAGATTGGATAATATTAGTTGTAGTGTGAAGTAAATCATTGATAAAAAGAAGGAAGAGAGTAGGAGAAAGAACAAAACCCTGTGGGACACCACTATTGGTAGAGAAAGAAGGAGAGATCGATCCTCGATAACAACAGTTTTCAAGGAAGCTAGAAATTAGAAACAAAGTGGGGAGAGAAACCATAAGAGGAAGCTAGAAAGCAAAGACTGTGCCATACCCTGTCAAATGCTTTGGAGATGTCGAGGCAACGACGAAAGTTTCCCCATAATCCCTAAGAGGAGGATTCAAAGATGGGTGCAGTAGGAGACAGATCACCAGTAGATCTCGCCTGGAGAAAGCCATACTGGTGATCCGACACAAGAGAATGACGTTCAAGATGACGGAGAAAATGGTAGTTCAAGATAGTTTCGAAAATCTTAGAGGGGATGAAGTTAGGCAAGGAGCGATATTTAGAGGATTAGAATGGTCACCCTTTGGGATGGATTGAATATCGGGAAGGCAAGAAAACCCGAAAATGAAAACTAGAAAATGGAGATTGACCAGTCCTGCTTGTTGATCGAAACCCTTAACGGCACCTCAGTAAACCACTATATGACTAACTGAATAACTGTTCTTTTATACTTACAGGTACGGCGGCCTAGTGGATAACAGCCTTCATTCCAGTTTTAAGGGCCGTTGCTGAGTCCAGGCTACCACAAGTTACCCAGCTATGTATGGATACCTAATTATACAGCTGGGGAAGTAAAGGCAGTTCGACCACACTCCCACCCTTGTGTACTGAAGGTGTAAGACCTTGATCACACTACATCACATTACAGTGTTTATATTCACTGTGGTTGTTATAGAACTGTAATCACTCTATTTAAACATGCCTCATAATTCATAACATTCCTCATTTACGCAGTATATTATTTTTAACTTACATTTTTTTTACTTAAATTGCAAACGTTATTAATAACCCAAACATGTCAACACTGTAGTGCTACTGAAGACACAACCCGGAGGTAATTTCTTTAATGGATGATTGTGTTGTTATTGGTCCCTCTCTCCCTGGTTGACTCTCGGCCGTCTGGTGGTGATGATGATAATGAGATGTGCTATTCCGGATGTGTCGAAGTATAGTAGTACAATATTTGATTACCCCTATTATCACACCCAACTGGTAATGTGTGATCGCTACGCATTACTACATCTCAAAATGCCAATAAGTTATAATTATGAGTATGTATAAAAAAAAAAACTGGACGAGTATTGCGCTTAAAATAAATTGAAGGTCATTTATGTAAAACAAGTTTATCCCGTTCAGTGGCACTGACTTATGACTTAATGGTACCGAGAATGTTGAATGATTATTTTAACTAATTTATCATTCTACCGTTTATCAGTTTATTAAATATTTGGCCGGTTGGTATGTTTCGTTACTTTGTTATGAACTATATTGTCCTTATGTTAGTACAGTAGGAAAGTTAGTTGTTTGGTATGGTAAGAGCTACGCGTTTCTCACCCAAACGGACGGAAAGTTTAATATAAAGTTCTAAGGCAGGAGAATCTCCTATATATATATATATATATATATATTTAGTAAGAGACAAAGAAGGGAGGAGAAGAATGTCTGTACGAATGTTTCGCAGAGTCGCGAGCATAAGACTTTAGGCCTGCGACTCCTTGCAATATGTAAACATGAAATATTCTTCCATTCATTGTTGTTTTAATAATAACAAAGGTATCCTGGCACATTAAATCACTCGACTACGATAGATGGAAAGATAGATAGATAAATATTCAGTAAAACCGTCATACAAGTTTAGACTGGTTCACTATGTTAGGTAGACAGTGAAGGTGTAAAACAATAAACCTAAACAGATTATTAGGATAAGCGCCCTTGTTTAGGCCCATCTCAGAAATCTTATATACACATCCATTAGGGCCTCAGAAGGCTTAGGGAAAAATAGAGAGATCCAGAGAAAAATAGGGAGGCAGGGAAAAGCGAGAGGTTCAGGGAGAATCAGGAAGGTTCAGGGAAATTTAGGGTCAGTACTGTATCAGGTG